CAAAATATCAAGAGATGAAATACGGGAAAAGGGGTGTTATCAGATAATAGTATCTTATATTTTCTTCATGGTCCTAGAAAATAACACTAAAAAGTTTTGTTCAGATTAGTCAAAATATGTAAAAATATATAGACAGACAGACAGACATTTAATTTTATATCTGTAAATAAATAAAATATTTGATCATTGAAATTAAATTTTTATAAAGATAATAATATAAAAGTAAATTTAATTTTTAGGTTTATAGTAAAACTGTAAAAATACACGCAAGTTTACATGTAAGATTTTCGAGAAAATCGATAACATTTAAACAAATTTAGAAAAAATTAAAACATTTTAAGACGTATACTAACATACCTACAGTTTCATTTTCAGTATACTATTTTATGGAATAAAGTGAATATAAATATTCATATTTCTCAAAGATTTATAAAAATACAGAAAATAATATCTGTACTATAGAATTATTTACAGATTGAAATATTTTACAATATTTACATGTTGTAGTATATATTTCGGAAATAATTTATACCACCTTTTATATTTGTTATTTATATTATATAAGTATGTATAGTAGATAAATAATTCAACTGTTGATATCTCGTTGGCTGAGTGTAAATAAATATTAGCAACTTATTAAATATAATAATAATTTTTAAATTGAAAAATATACATTTTTAAAGAATAAATGAAACTGTAAAGTTAAAGAAAATAAGTTAATTTAATAAATAATAAATAAATAATCAATAAGATAAATAAATAATTAATTTGTATCATGTTATCTTTCTCATTATAATTTAGTTATAAGATTTTCAGGTTTTTTTTAAATTATATGTAAATTCAATAAATTATATTTGTTAATTGTATAATATATTATTATACATAATCATTTACGAGAAAAGTACTTTAAATTATTTACAATAAACACTTGTTGTATAACACAGGACATATAATGTAAGAGCACGTTTATTGCGTAAAAGATAACGTAAAGAAAATTACAAGTTATCGACTTACAGTTATAATAAATTATAAATCTTAATTTCGACAATTTAGTTAATTAAAAATTTTTTGACTTTAATAATTAATAATAATTTATTAATTATTAGTTAATTTACTAATTAATTAATTAAATATTAATTGAATTACAGCGATTAATTTTTGTTTACTTAATCTTTATACTAAAAATTCTTTGTAATTTAAAATTTATAAAATCTTTAAAGCTTTGTTAGACTTTATTTATTAAACTATTAATATTTATTTTAATACATATAACTTATCAAAAATTTTTATTTCATTTTAAATTATGGAAGTATTAAATAATTAAATATCTACGCTGATCAGCCAAAACATTATGACTATACCTAGCTAATATTTTGTTGCTCCATCATATGCTGAAAAAACTGCCCGAACATCGACTCTATAAGATATCTAAAAGTGGTTGGGGTATGTTGTACCACGATGATAGGTCTGTTAACTCCGAAACAATTTGTGGTGAGATAACTGCAGAACGAACTTGTCAATCTAGTATATTCCACAAATGCTCGATCGAATTGAGATCTGCGAAATATGAAGACCAGGGCAACATCTGGAAATTGTCTTCATGCTCCGTGAACCAATTACAAACTATGCGGGCTTTGTGGCAGAGTGCGTTGTTATCTCTTGGAAGATTCCGTTCATATCAGCAGTGATATTCAGGTAGCAGTGAAAGGGTTGGGTGGAACAAAGGCTTTCCAACAGAATAAATTCCTTGACATAACACCACCAACTCCGGCTTAGCTTCTCCCTGTCCAAAGTCTTGCCCGTTTTACGACGCTGACTAATTCGTCCATCCACATGATCCAAAATAAAACGTGATTTAGCAGGCCGAGCACCTTCTTTTATTAATTCACAGTTCACTTTCGATAATTCCGGATCCATTGCAGACGTCGATGAAGTTGGACTAGTCAGAATGAGTACTTTGGTGATCGATGGCTGCGTATGTGCTTTGGTTCTTGCGGTGATCATCCGCAATAGCATGCGATAAACAGTGTGTTCAGAAACACCGGTATCGTCATTTTCATTGAATTTTGTAGTNATAATTCCGTTTTATATGAATTCCATGTTGTACGAGTCACTTAGATTTTACAAATACGTGTGCCAGGCTGTAAACGGCTCACGTATTTGTGAAATCTAAGTGACTCGTACAATATGGAATTCATATAAAACGGAATTATCAACAGTGTTATAGGGGGGTCAACTTGTATATAATCTTTAACTAACAAGAATATCGTTAGATATTTGAATAAGTTTTTTGATCAATTCGTTTGATTAGCATTGTGATAAATAGGTAACATTAAAAAAATAATGTTACCTTGTTATCACAACAAATAATAATTTTATTTCAAAGTCATAACATAACCCAGATCCATAGAAAAGACAAACGGAATACTCTAAAAATGGAACAACTTGAGTTTCAAAAATTCAGGGTCAATAAATTTGCAGTTATATAACACTAAATTATTTAAATATTATTTAAAAAAACAATTTAATTCTAAAAAAATTCATTGTATTCTATACAAAAAGTATGCAATATAATTTTTCGATTTAACGTATATAACGCAATTCCAACGTATAAAAAAATTATAATTTAATACAATATTAATTAATCGAAATGTACGAAATAATGTAAATATGAATGCCTTAATGTATTATTTAAATCACTGACGAACAATCATTTTTTGGATGGGGGCTTCGAGCGAACTTCGTGGGCCGCATGCACTTTTTTCTTACAGAGTTTCAGGCTTAATCCTACATAGAACTAACTCCAATAATTGTACACTAAAATAATATATGTTAATAATATGCAAATTACTGATATATTGTTTATCCTCATTTTCCCACTAATCAAGCTTAGTTTAAATGTCCTTCGTTGCGAATATTAGCTTATGAATTCATAATAGAACGAGGGCAAATAATAAAATTACGTATGCTGAAAAGTAATTAAATCATTTTTTAATGATTTAACTGTTTATTTTTTCTGTACGAATTAGTTTTACTAAAAGAAAAAAAAATTTCTAACGTTAATACAAAGAAGCCAAATGCTATAATAATAATCTAGTGACGTTTTCATAAGTAAAGAAAATATTATTAAATAATTGATTTATTTTTACGAAATTTGTTCCAAAACTGACAAAAATGACAATGTTAAATATTAAAATTTAATCGGATATAATACACTAAATAATTATATATTGACAAGTGAAATATTATTCAGAAAAAATGAAGTGGAAAGATGATAAAGATTACGATGGACTTCATCTTTATAGGATGGAGGTCAAGAGGATACATTAGTAGCGGGAGGCACAGAAAACACTCCCCGTTCATCCCTCTTTTTTCCGCTTAATGTTTACTTAAAGTGAATTATTATTTGGGGCCTATATACTACATAAACACGAAGAGAACAATGTTTTTATTTTATAAGAACATTAATTAAATAAACTACTTCGGTTTAATATTTTTTAGAAAAGTATTATATTATCAAAAGACTTCAACGTTTTATTATACAAAGTCGACCCCCCTATAACACTGTTGATAATTCTGTTTTATATGAATTCCATGTTGTACGAGTCACTTAGATTTTACAAATACGTGTGCCAGGCTGTAAACGGCTCACGTATTTGTGAAATCTAAGTGACTCGTACAATATGGAATTCATATAAAACGGAATTATCAACAGTGTTATAGGGGGGTCAACTTGTATATAATCTTTAACTAACAAGAATATCGTTAGATATTTGAATAAGTTTTTTGATCAATTCGTTCGATTAGCATTGTGATAAATAGGTAACATTAAAAAAATAATGTTACCTTGTTATCACAACAAATAATAATTTTATTTCAAAGTCATAACATAACCCAGATCCATAGAAAAGACAAACGGAATACTCTAAAAATGGAACAACTTGAGTTTCAAAAATTCAGGGTCAATAAATTTGCAGTTATATAACACTAAATTATTTAAATATTATTTAAAAAAACAATTTAATTCTAAAAAAATTCATTGTATTCTATACAAAAAGTATGCAATATAATTTTTCGATTTAACGTATATAACGCAATTCCAACGTATAAAAAAATTATAATTTAATACAATATTAATTAATCGAAATGTACGAAATTATGTAAATATGAATGCCTTAATGTATTATTTAAATCACTGACGAACAATCATTTTTTGGATGGGGGCTTCGAGCGAACTTCGTGGGCCTCATGCATTTTTTTTTTACAGAGTTTGAGGCTTAATCCTACATAGAACTAACTCCAATAATTGTACACTAAAATAATATATGTTAATAATATGCAAATTACTGATATATTGTTTATCCTCATTTTCCCACTAATCAAGCTTAGTTTAAATGTCCTTCGTTGCGAATATTAGCTTATGAATTCATAATAGAACGAGGGCAAATAATAAAATTACGTATGCTGAAAAGTAATTAAATCATTTTTTAATGATTTAACTGTTTATTTTTTCTGTACGAATTAGTTTTACTAAAAGAAAAAAAAATTTCTAACGTTAATACAAAGAAGCCAAATGCTATAATAATAATCTAGTGACGTTTTCATAAGTAAAGAAAATATTATTAAATAATTGATTTATTTTTACGAAATTTGTTCCAAAACTGACAAAAATGACAATGTTAAATATTAAAATTAAGTAACAAACATTATTATTTATTTATTTTTTTAATTTTATATAGTTCAAATTGCGACAAATTTCAACTTTATCGCAGAAATTTGTTCTCGTTTTACTCATCAGAATATTTTTATATTAAATTTTATAAAGATATAAATAAATAAATAAGCTATAAAATGCTATATAATACGTTATAACAGATTATATTATAAAATAATCTTTCTCTATTAATAAAAATATTTAAAAAGAGAAAATTTGCAATAAATGTGAGAAAATTTGTTGTTTTTTCCAACAAATAATCGTGTTTTATATATAAATCGCTTACCGTTTGTTTCCATCTTCGGCTTCAGTTGTTAGTTTTAAAAGTAATCTATCGAATAACTTTTTGAAGCATTTATAGTAAGTTAACGACCAATAGCGAGTAACGACGTCATTGAGGAGGTTTTTGTGACGTCAAAATTGTGAGAAAAGGCATAGTTTATTTTTTACTCCATTGAAGATAACCTGTTTGGTACGATAAATTCACAGGGAATTTTACACCTTGCGCTGTGATATATATAACTTTTTTTACTTCTTCTTCTTCTTCTTCTTTTTTGTAACTGTTATGTATTATCTTAACAAAATTTAAAGTTTTGAATAAAATATAAAAAACGAATAATACTTGATATAAATAAAAATAACATAATATGACCTAGACAAAATACTTAACCTACTTTCGAGATTCAGGATGAAGTTTGACAGTTAAAAATTCATCTCGATGCTCATCGATCTAATTTATAAGAATTGAAAGATTGAAATCTATATTAAATTTATAAGACGAAGCGTAGATTAGTGAACTTTATATTACAAACCCTTCTGTAATTTCATTAATTAAAAAGTAATTTCTTTNAATATAATTAAATAAATAAATTTATTTATTTATTTTAGGGATTTTACCTTTTGTGGTAAAATTCTTAGATCTAATAAAGGAAAATTTTCTTCCAAAAGCGAGAATCACAAAGCGATTTTTTTTTTTCGCCGAAGAACTTTATTTTTCGAAGGTGCAACCTTTATAAAATGCATTTTGGACTCTTTAGGTCCCTCATCAGTCGCACAGGGTCACATTATAACTGATGGCGGGCTAAGAGAGTTTGAAGTGATTTTTGTCGAGGATTGCGCCGTAGAGAAATAAAGCACGTTTACATAACAATTGTTATGCGAGTCTTGTCCTTGGAAGAAAATTCACCTTATTAATATATAATATACAATGGGGTTCAAGAAAAAAAAAAAAAAAAAAAAAACGTTTAGAGTTTGAGAGGTTTTAAAAAAAATTTTAAAAAAAAAAAAAAAAAAAAAACGTTTAGAGTTTGTAGCGCTTTAAAGATAATTTTAAGAATCATAATAAATAAATTAATTATTTTACCACAAATCAATATGTATTATGTAACTTATAATGCATTTTAGTAAGTTTATTTACGTACAAATTTAATTTATAAGTATATTTAATATTTCTACATGTAAAGATGTTTTGAGTTGAAGCTCAAAATTAATTACTAGGAAAATACAATTAAATTCTTTAAAATTAAAACAACAATGCTTTCAGTAAAGCAATTACCAGCAATTTCTAATGAATTTTAAGTTCAAGTAAATATATTTTAATTAAAATTTATTTCGGGAATTTTTACTGTTTCTATATTAATACTAATTATTTTTTTTATTTAGATTGTTTTAAGATCACATTTTAAAAGTAATAAAGTTGTTTTAA